CCCTTAAAACCCTTTGCATTGATTTATAGTGATATATGGGGACTGGTACGGGTAAAAAATATTACTGGTACAAAATGGTTTGTCTCTTTTATTGATGATCACACTAGAATAACCTGGGTTTATATGATAAAAGACAAATCTGAGATTGATGAAATCTTTCAAAAATTCAACACTATAATTCAAACCCAATTTCAAACAAAAATACAAGTATTGAAAACAGATAATGTATGTGAATAATTTTCATTCAACCTAGGCAAATTCTTTTCTTGCTAAGATAGTGTCCATCAAAGTTTTTGTCCCTACACCCCTCAACAAAATGGTGTGGTCGAAAAGAAAAATAGGCACATTTTTGAAGTATCCTGCTCATTCATGTTTACCACAAATGTCCCTAAATACCTTTGGGGAGAGGCTGTTCTCATAACCACATATCTGATCAACAGAATGTCCTCCCGTATCCTTAAGTTTAAAACACCTTATGATTCACTACTTCAAGCGTTCCCAACATCGCACATCCTTCACATAATTCTGTTTAAAGTTTTTGGTTGTTCTGCCTATATTCACATTCCCAGTCACCTTAGAGGGAAACTTGATTTTAGAGCCCTCAAATGTGTTTTTGTCGAGTATTCCAATTCTCAAAAAGGTTACAAATGTTTTTGTCCAGTAACCTGTCGGTTCTATAACACTATAAATGTTACATTTTTTAAGAATCAACCCTTTTATCCCACTCTAAATATTCAGGGGGAGACATGTGCAACTCAAGAATATCAATTGGGGGATGTGAATATCCCTACTCTACAGACTCCATTGACAACTTTAGAAAAAGATCATGTTCCTGAACCACCAAAGAACCTGAACCATCACAGAGATTGATAACACATTACCTGCAGTTAGTGAGTTACGTGTCTATATAAGGAATAACAAAACTCAAGGTAAAGATAAAGTACCTGAACCATCTATACTTTGTCATGACTCAACTCCTATACCAAGCTCCCAGAATAACACAGGGAATAAGATTTCTGACTCTACTAATGATATTGGTGTACCTATTGCATTATGAAAGGGTGTTCGTTCTTGTACTATGCATCCAATACAGAATTATGTCTCTTTTGGCAAGCTGTCTTCGAAGTATCATGCACTTGTGAACAAGTTTGATAGCATCCCTCCTGAACCAAGAACAGTTCATGAATCTCTCAAGATTCCTTAATGGAATGCTGCTATCCAAGAATAAATTTCAGCTCTTGAGAAAAATGGGACATTAGAATTATCTAATCTACTTTCAGGGAAGACTCCTGTTAGATGCAAGTGGATCTTCAGTACCAAGTACAATTTTGATGGTAGTGTAAGCCGCTACAAAGCTCGACTTGTTACTAAAGGGTTTACCCAATCATATGACATCAACTATCAACACAATTCGAGTATTATTCTCTTTAACATCTAATCTTGATTGGTCTTTTTATCAACTTGATGTGAAAAATATTTTCCTTAATGGTGACCTAGAGGAAGAAGTATACATGAAAGTCTCACCTGGACTCAAAATAAATCGTTAAAAAATATGCAAATTAAAGAAGGCACTGTATGGCCTCAAATAGCCTCCAAGGGCTTAATTTGACAGATTCATCAGGGTAGTAAAGCATATGGGATATCAGCAATGTCAATCCGATTATGTCCTGTTTGTCAAGCATTGTAT